TTAAACTGAAGCATGGGCTAAGTCACTTGAAACAGAGGAGCACTCTGTAGAATTCAGTATTAATATGTTACAGAAGTGACACAAGAATCCAATATCCTGACCAGGAAAACCAGACCACCATAAAGACTGGAGAAAAACTGGTGTTATGTTTGAAGAGGCTTCCCAGCCTAGAGGAGAAGGGAAAGCATGGTCTGCTTTGAGCAACCATCAGATGGGACACTATTCTCTCTCTTAAATTAATGGCACTCAGAAATCCACCCAAAAATTGCGTTTCTATGGATATAGAGGATAGGGCTACTTGGTGCCATTAAACACAGACCACTGTGCACCTGCTCTGGCCCTCCATAAAATCCAGGAAGCAGGTATAGAACTAGTAAAGTCGTTAGTACTGTACTCTTCTACGGGATAGGTTTCCTCCTTGGGATCTCATGTACATGGCTCTACTTTCTCCCACCTTGGAAGAGTAGTATCCTTAGGGGAGAAAGGAGGGAACACTCACTGTGCTCCTTTGCCTATAAGATCTTGACGTTTGCTGGGGATTCAGTAAGGTTTTCTGAAAGCCTGCTTATGTCCTCTTACATACTTGTGCTACACATTCACAGAAAGGTCACATAATCTAGGTCTCATTTCACCATTCGCTTTACTGGAACTATTTATCTGCATGTACGTAATTGTACCTCGACCTGAAGGTTTAGCATTTCTCCACCCTGTTTCAGTTTATCTTAGTACACCATATTCCAAAACAGATTGCAAACTCTTGAGTTATAGACTATGGTGTTTTTGTTTTACAAAGCATTTAACAAGTTCATGTATGTTTTCTTAAGAGGACAGTTCTCTGCCATCTAGGAGCAGTTCACACCCGGTTCTTAATGTGATTGTTCATATTTACAGGAATTATGCATCGTGTGATACTTGTTTATAAGATTCCACTATTTGAACTACCTGGGTAAAGCATTAATAAATTTCTACGGTGTCATTAATTAGCAGAGCTGCTTGGCACTGTTCATTTTATAGAAACTGCCTAAGGCTGGCAGCTGTGATACTTTTCTTTAGTCATCTAATTAATGATAGGGTGAATGTTATGACTATTTTCCAAAACAGCATGGTATGGGTGTTTGAGGAAACAATTTTCTTAGAAAAAGAAAAGAAACTGGAAGTCCTCATTCAGCTAGGAATACAAGAAATGGACATTACAATTTTGTAGCTTGAAGTATCCCACGAGAGCGGGCAAATTGGTGCCTGTTTGGAATCCTTCCATCTTCTAAACCATATGATTATACCACTGGCGGCAGTCATGGATTTTAGTATAATTTTTATAAAAGTGAAATACAGACTATTTGAATTCCACAAATGTAAAGCCTAACAACATTTTTATATTCACTTCTCACAACAGTGTACGAGTACATGAGGTGCAAGAGAAAAAGCACCTGAAAAACCTAACTATTTGCTGAAAGTTTCCTGTACAGATGCTCAACTGGAATAACCAGATTGAGAAGCGATGACGGAAACTCTCCTCTGAAATATTGAAGTGCAATATTTACTGAACATGCATCAGAGGCTTTGGTATTTGGGTCATCTAAACGCTTCAATCTTCTGATACTGTGTCATTCTTTTATTGTGCGTACTCACTCTGTTAACACTTTTTGGTTTATGCTGTGGTCCTTCTTTAATACTGCTGCCTGTAAAGCTCCCATATTTTATTAAATTTGAATGTATCTGAGCTCACTCTACTTGATTATTATGGGGGGGGGGAGGCAGATGACCATAATATCCTTTAGGCATTACTGTTATTCCTACTTTCTTTGGATGTTAAGACCACCCATATGTGTTTTTATGGCTCACTCTCAAGCTTAGACAATATACAAGGCACACATGCAAGTTTGAACTGAAAAGGCAAATGTTTTGGTTCTTTGTGCATCTTTAGGATAAGAACTAAAAGGCCTTTTTGGACACTTTGAAAAGTTTAAATATGTTCTTTTCCATTGTTGTTTGCTCCTTGCAAACCTAGGGAGGCTCAAGGTTTTGTTTCTTCCTTTCGAATGAAATGAAAACTCGTCTTTGGGGAGCTTTTTTGAGATCCATGGCTCTTTCGAAAGACCTAGGCTATCATTTGGCATGAACAAATCTACATATGAAAAACATTGTACTGCCTCTTTTGAATTCTCCCCGCAATTACAGTCCCAACACCTGCTATGTGTAACCTCAATCATGCTGTGATGCATGTGTTCACTCACTGACTAAGGAATCCTGCAGACACTGACACAGAGGTCTTCTCTCATGTGCTCTTTGGGTTACCTTTCCATTCGTCATTGTTCCCCCTTGCATATAATCTAAACTGCAGCATATAATCTAAATGCATCTAAACGGCATTTCTGTTAGGATCTCACAGTCTTTGCTCATCCCTGATGATTGTGCGCAGTCAACAGGCATTAAAAGCAGCTACTGTTTCTGCAAGCGCTGTCTGCACCGCACCAGGATCTATGTATTTGGGTATTTGTATGGCAATGAATGAATCCTATGCATCAGAGACTGGAAAAATTTAATAGGTTCTTCTTGTCCATGAATCCTTGTTGGAAGGCTTTATTCAAAGCATTTTCCATAAGTTTCTTTTAAAAAGCTTTTCCCGCCAGTCAAACTGATATTTAGTTTTCTGAATTTTGCCCAGTTACTGCATAAGACAGGCCTTCTGTGACCCTATAGAATTTTGTCCAGTATTTATAAATTCTCTTATTATGTGAGAGAGGCTTTAAAGTTTCTCTGGATACATTATGTTCAGGTAAAATATTATCGTTTTCATTAACATGTTCAGTAACAGTGATAAATATGCACTAGAAACTATGAGGAACTGCCTTCTGGTATCTCCAAATATGAATGAAAATTAAGCTTTAGCAGTTCATTTGCATTGAGTTTTCTAAGCTGAAAACAATAATCAAAAGGATTAATCAAATGAAGGATTGATTTTTCCAGCACTTTGCTTCCCCAGCATGTGACATTCTAAAAACAGGGAAATACCTCAAAGAAAATATTTCTGGAAAATTAAGTCCTTTAAACTCCCCAAAGAAACTTCTTAGAGAAAGTTTTTTAATTAAGAGTTTTAAGGATTTTCAACAATGTTGATTCTGCTGCAGTACAGCCTGAGCCTGACAGATTAATACCTAACATAGGGAATACATTACTAATATACTTTTTACAGAAGTGTAGACTATGGACCGCACTGAAAATCAAAGTCAAAGGGAAACAGACCCTGCGGTTTGCTGCTCTTCCAGTCTTCTCCAGGGTTGTTACTAACCACTCGTTTACCTTTGCTATCTCATCTCCCACGTATCCGTTTCATTTTTGGAAGGGTGTACTGAGCAGAGGAAAAGCTGATGCTATTCTTTGTAGCAGCCATTTCTGTTTAGATAGCTACAGCTTTCAGGAAACAATGTCCTGTACAAGGACTACTCCCCACTTCCCATTTGTACTGTGCTTCCTCTCATGCCACAGAGCCCTAGCCATATGATTTTTAGATATGAGGGACTTTCCGAGGATCACAGGAGGATTGGGTAAGTACAGCTTGCTTCGTCCCTGCTCTGGGGTTCGGATTTGTTCTAAAACCCACTGAAGTCGGTGGACAGACTCTCCTCGACTGAAATTATTATGATCAGATTCTACAAAAGGTACTCTTTGCGGAGTGAAAAAGTTTCTGAGAAATAAACTTGACCAACCGAAGTATGATTGATTTCTCCCAAAGTCCCCACCCTGCACTCAGCAGTCCCATCAACCTTCAGTGTGAATGGGTAAGTCCAGCACCTAGCAGGAACACAATTCACTTTACCAAGTTATCACAAAATTACAGAAATGCTGGACCTTTGGAGGTTTATAGTCCAATCTCCTGCTCAAAACAGAAGTAGCAGCAGTGCTAGATCAGGTCAGTCATGGCTCTATCTAGCTGAGTCTAGAAAACCTTGAAGGATGGAGACGCAACAACCTTTGAGTGACTCATTCTAGTGTTGCATTACTCAGCTGGTGAAAAAAGCTTTTTATACCATCCAGCTTGAACCTCCCAAGTTGAAACATCTGGCCATGCCCCTTGTTGTCATCATCTACCACCATCAAAAAGAATTTGGCTCCATCATCTTTGCAATTGACCTTCAAGTAGTTGTCGGCTGTCAGTAGACAGACCACCCTGCAGCCTCCTCTTCACCTGACTGAACAAGACTAGCACCCTCACACTCTCTTTGTAAGTTGTGTGCTCTACAGCCCCTGACAATCTGGGTAGCTGTATACTACACCCTCTCCCGTTTCTCAACACTTTCTTTGAACTGAGAGGCCTAAAACAGTATTCCAGAGACAGCCTCACCAGCTTTGAGTACAGAGGCAGAATGACTTCTGTCACGCTGCTGACCCACTTCTCCTAACGTAGCCCAGCACGCAGCTTGCCCGGTTGTGATGAGAGCATGCTGTTGGTTCGTGCTTGACTTCACTTCCACCATACTGCCAGGTCCTTTTCAGCAGGGCTACTTGTCAGCCAGTTGAGCCTCATTTCTTTGCAACCTCTTACCCTTAGACTTACCTACCCTCTAACCAGAAAGGGAGCAGTTTTCAACCTGTTTTAAGATCAACTTCACTTAACGACATTTAAGGGGATTTTGTACCTGAGCTGCTGGTTTAATATACTGCAGAGACAAGCATCAACTGCGAGGTCTGCATGCTGCTCTACACGCCGTCCACATTTGGACTGAATCCAATAAGGTCTTTTTCACCGCTGTATCGCTTTCCTTCCTTCCTGTCATTCCCCATTATGAAAAAGTAACAAGCTAACCTCTTTGTCCGTAATCTTTTCCATTTGTCATGGGTAACTGTCAAATCAGCCTGTGAAAAGACATCTGCAGGCATTAAAGAGTTACAGTTTTTCTCTCCTACCAGGAAATTTTAGAGGTTTGCAAGCAGCCAATAGACAGAGAGACAAACAGTGCAGCTGACTCACGGGCAGGAAAGCTGGGCTGGGTGCGCTGGCAGTTCAAAGCAGGCAGCTCACAGCCCGGGTCTGCAGCAGTGTCACTAGGCTGCTCCACAGTTTTTACGCCCATGTTTCTGGAGGTAAGTTGTATTTTGTTTCCAGTTTTCTTTATTTGGATGTTGGAACATCACTGTAACTCAGAAAAGTTTCTCTCGTACTAAGCAAAATATCTTGCTTTTAAAAATACCTTTAAAATCAGAAACTTGAAATAAATGGTTTCACAGCAATCCCTCACCCTCTCTGACTAGGAGAAGATGACAAAGGTGTCTGAGACTTTTGGTGTCTCATTAAAAATAATACAGAAACCTTCATTGCAAAAGTAACCTAAGAAATATTGGTTTTGTGGTTTGATACTGGATTTTTTTTTAAAGTCTAGAAGAAAAAGCATTCAGATGAGCAGAACTACTGAAAAATGGCTGTGGTACCAAACTTTCAGTCTGGGAGTTAGAGAGAGAGATTTTGTTATCTGTAACTGAATTAAATAGTCCCATATTCCAGGATTATTCCCTCCAACTCTTTCAGCAATATGGGTGGCACCCTGGATAAGTAAAAGATCTCTGATTTTAGGGTCAAACTCTCTTTTGGGGACAATCAACAAATCACTCTAAGTCCAGGGGTGGAAATAGATGCACAAACCCTGATATAGCGAAAATATTGCTTGATATGTGGTGGTTTGTAACTCCTGAAGATAAAAGTGGTTTCCATTCTGTTTTTACAAAAATTTCTAGTCAAGTTAGGTTTTGCAAATCCAAAACAGGAGCTGAAGGCTAGGTTTTTATTTTTATCTAAATCACCAGTTAGCAAGAGTTTCAAAAATCGTTATAGCTTTACCCAATTCCATCTAAACTACAAACAGACATATTCAGGAATGATTTAGATCCTGTATTCATTATTAGATCTTCTTTGTCCTATATTTGGAGGTCCAAATAAACTATTTTGGTTATTTAAATGCTATTTATCTTAGTATATAGATAAAATGTAAGATAATTCTGCTTCTGCCAACCTTTTGATTACCTCCATTCATTTTAGGATTTTTAGATTTGCATGGTCTGTCTGTATCATCTTTAAAGGATAAATGGCTCATTTGGAAATTTATCTTCATTCAGAGCAGCCAGTTGTAATTTTATAAAACTATTAACCCGTCTGTTAGCCTCATGCCATTATGTCATTTATTCTTTATTAAATACCTCTAATTGACCCACCTATGGCAGCTATCGCTTTCAAATTACAGTAACATAATAACAAGTAAAAAGTTTTGCTGTCCTTTCCTATAAAAAATCAGATACTGTTGGAGCTTTTATGGCAAATCAGCTGCAGTATTTTTATTATTTGCACTCTGATTCTAGTTAGATGCAAAACTGAGCTTACTACACTGCTGTGACTCTGAAAATGGCTACATGGCACAGCAGAGATACTGAGATTAACTGAAAATGAATTGGTCAGGAACTAGAAGCAGCTCAGTCACGATAGTATGGGCTAATTTATCTTCAGGTTTATGCTTCCATTCTACATATGGAGAACTGTCATTAAGTGATCTGCTCAAAGTCAGAAGACTTTCAGGCCTTCTGCATCCCAGAACCTCCTTTTGTTGAGTCCTTCTTATAGAAGGGCACAATTCTCTCTCAACGGTCCTTAATAATTACTTCCATTTTTTTGGCCCTATTACTTCAGTTCCCCATGGATTTATTTTCCTAGCACAGATCTACTCATCCTGAAGGGAGCATTCCAGTTTGAGTACTTTTGACACACTGACTATCTATATTGCAGTATTCCTTATGAATGGTATTTTCCTGTTTTCTTTGCTTGCTCTCATTTTATTTGTTCACCATTAACTTTCAGTTATCTGTACCTAAAGTATCTTTGCGGCATCATTAAAAATGTGTTACTCCTGCAGTAGCACACGTGATGCTTTGCAGAGGTTAGTTATCTCTCGTCCATGTGTACTGTTGTGCAATTTGTCTATGTCAAACATATTCAGATAGCCCCAGAGAGGTACCATAAATAAACACTTACAGGCCAAATTGGTGGCTGCTGTACAGACACAGCGCTATTTAACAGAATTCTGCCAGTTTACAGCAGCAGGAAATTTGGTCCATTACCTCGCTTTTGTGATGACGTGTGGTATCACATTAAATAAAATATGAAGTAGTGATGTAGAACATGGACTGGCATTGGTTATTGAAAACTTGCACTGTATCCATGAGAAGTGGGAGAAACTACTCCTGCCTAGCACGTAACTGTAAGATATTTGCTGTTGTCTACATATTTCAATATCATTTCAAAATCACGTTTTATATTGTAAATAATGGCCCCACATTTCAAAGTGATCAGATGGAAATAATATGGAGCAACTAACTAGCCTTGCAGCTTCAGATGGTAAATTATGGTTCAGGCACCGTTCTGCAATTAGTATGCTTTCCCTGTCTTTATAAGAAAAACCTGACCCACAGAACAGTAAAAGGAAATCTATTGGAGTAGGATGCAGATTATTTGGGAAGTATGGGTTGGTGCAGTGCTTTAGTAGTAGGGATAAAAAGTAGGCTTAAAAACTCTTTTTTCCTCTTCTGCAGTTTTCTTCCTCAAGCCTGTAATCAGGAAATGGCCAAATCATTACCTGTAGTAGCCCAGGAAGATTTGGATAGCTTCACCCTGACCAGGACAGGCTCGGGCTTTGCACTCAAAGCCTTTCACGTTCCTTGGAACATTCACATCGCGGTGAAGCTGTTGACCAGTCAGAATACTACAGAAAGGTAAGCATCTTATCTGGTGTAACATCATACAGGTCAGCAGCAAAAAAACTGCAGTGATGGCACCACAATGAATTGTGGCATGCCCAGGATCATCTGATCTCTAATCAACTCTCCATTGCTAGGGATCACAACTAGCCATGAGGCAATGCGGAGGCAATTATACTGAGAAATAAGCTCAATGAAATTTTACAAATGTTGTGAAAGTAGAACTTAATGCTAAAGTCATTAATTATTTCTGCTATAGTAATGCCTACAGATGCGGATCGGTACTCAGTATTAACATATTCCTGGAGAACCCTGAAGAGATTGAATCTCAGTTGATTTTCATATAAGGACCTAGTACAAATGAAGGAGTAGAGAAACAGGAGGAGGGAGGGATAATGGTCAGGGTTACGGGGCTTCAAGGTGTGTGTGATGTGCCACTTATAAAAACAAACCAGCAGCAACTGATGGATGTCAGCCAGCTTATCACCTACAGAATTCCAGTGTGCTGACAAGCAAAGGCATAGGAATTTTCTGAGAATAACCTTGCATTATTTCTGACGATGCAAGACCAAAGCATTTTAGGAAATGCATTGACCTGACTCTCTTCATCAAAAAAGGAGTTTCTGATATACATCTGAGGACCTGTTACAACTCATTTGTTAACTGAGAACGTTGACGTTCAGGTGGCTTTTGTTAGAATAAAATTGAAAAGTGTCCTAGTGGAACACACAGTATTTCATTTGTTCCGTTATAAAAACAGGGGAGGAAAAAACAGTAGATTAAATTTAATTTTAACTGCTCCCGGCAGCATTTGTTTTTTGAATTAGCCACCTTCAATTAAAAAATAGGGTTTTTTTTGTTGCTGTTTGGCTTGTTTTTAAGACAACAGAAGTCCAGTAATTTTGTAATCCAAATCAAAGTTATTTGTTTGGTAGTCTGTTTAAAAAAAAAAAAAAACTGTTTCTTCCATCCTCTCGCCACATTTTCTTTAAAAAAAAAAAAAGTTAAATCAAGTTACATAAAAATCAACTTTTTATTTTCTCTTGAATTTGACAGACTATTCTGATTTGGTGTCTTTTCACTCAAACTTGCTCCCTAAGAGTAAAGCTGGTAGTCTGTTTTTTTCTCTCCTTCTGCCATTCTGATCTCCAGTCTACGCTACACGGCATAGAGGAATACTGGGAGAATAAGCTGCATTCTACTCTGCCTGCAGACCTTTTAGCTGTGTGCTGGCGGTAAATATTTTAGATTTGTGGAAATAAGAATAAAAACTAGTGGAGCTGTAAATCAGTTCCAGTGATTAGGTTATAGGCTTGTGAATCAACACAGCAAATACGAAAAACTGAAACTGAAGTCCCCGTGCAAAGATTGGTTAGAATAAAGAAAATAACCTCTAAATCTGTTGAAATCAATTGAATTTTGAGTGAATTCCAACATATTTTCAGAAATACCGTAGAGATAATCAGATCTTTAAAATCAGATACACAGTAAAAAAAAGTTGAAACTATAGCAGGAGTTCTGTTATTTTCCATGAAAATGCACAATCGAATTTGCAGTTCAAAGAAGTGCAAAGAAGTAGCTAAAACCCTTAAACAAAATTTTACTTTTCTGATAATGATGATCAAAGCAAGGCTTCATTATTCTTTGTAAATACTTTCCATTCCAATTTGGGGCTGCAGTCCAACCGTAGATGAACGGAAATCAAATTTGACAAAGTTACTACAGCGATACTGTTTACATTAAATCTGAATTTGGCTTCATTGTTCTATATCATGCTTTGACATGGTCCTATCAGATAAGCAGGGAAGATCATAACTTCCTTGTAAAAGAGGGTATCCCTAACAGCAAAAGGATGAAATACAAGTTCTCGGGGAGAGCAGGAGAAAAACTTGATTTTTTTCTTTTTTTTATCGAGCATTTCAATATAGTTCAGCTTTCTCCTGCCTTTGTATTTCAAATTCTACTTTAAACTGTGCTCATACAGATTAATGCACCTAGAGTTCTTCCATATTACATTAGAAAACTAAACTACACTACAAAAGGTATTGGTCAATTTTCTTAGAATTGTTTGGTAGACAATATAATATTGGTATTGTTGAACACAAACCAAGAGAACGCTACTAACCATACAGTTATCTTTCATTCCCATATCTCACTCTATCCCACCTCGAGCTGAAATTCCTTTCAGTTCAAACTGCCTCTAACCCTTGTTATTTGTTACAGGGAGTGGAAGTCGCTGCTTCAGGATATAGCAGACATCCAATACTATCAGTCTGAACGTCTCCTACCTTCTCTGGGGATTTACCAGTACCATGGACTTGTGGGGACAGTGACTGAATGGATGAACAATGGATCCCTCCACTCCCTCATCCATGAGGTACACAAAAGAAGCTATCCTTTATGTGATAAAATGATTTACAGGCTAAGCCAACAGAGAACAATCGGCACATGAATTGTGGACAGTAACGGACAGTAGTCACAGTTGATCTACTATTTAGCTTCTGTATTGTACTTCTGCTTACTGGCAATTAAATGTGAATAGTAACATTTCCTCGCCACCAACACCTGTACTTTGTGTTACCTAGCATCAGCTGTACCCAGAGCTTCCGTTTCCCTTACTCATAAGGATCCTATCGGATGTGGCTGAAGGACTGCATTATCTGCACAGCCTCGAGCCTGCCTTCTGCCATGGCACCCTTAAACCTTCCAACGTCCTTTTGGATGCACAGTACAGAGCCAAGGTGGGAACTTTTTCTTTTAGCCTACAGCTCGTTTATGTAAAACCCAGGGATTGTCCTGTCACTGCATATGTTTATTCTAACAATTAACATTTAATACCAAGACTGAGGTATTGTTATGAAAATTTACTTTTTCTCCCACCTCTGTAGATATCAGATTATGGTCTAACCTACTGGAGGAAAGAGCAACTGAGGTCAGACCTGCAGAACTGCAGTCACAGAAACTGCCAGGATTTAGTGTACCTCTCTCCTGAAACACTTGAAGGAGGTTTTCCTTCACATGAAGGTGATATTTACAGGTGAATGGGATTTCTAACAGCAGCTCATACCTACCCCTTGCTGAAATACTTGTTTCAAAGACACTACAATAAAAATCGATGTAACGCATGTGGATAGTATTCCACACGAGGCCTATTAGAGCAGCAAATTAAATTTGAAATTCCTCCTATTTGAGCAACATACTAAGGTTAAGAACTGTTCTTAGAGTTCTTTTATATAAATATTTATATAATGAAGCTGAATGTTGAAAAAAGTGTAACATTGTTGCCAAAACAGCTGGTACAACCTTTTCATATACATTTAGGAACCTAGTAACAACAATTCACATTGTTTCTAAGTGTGAACTATACTTCATTTCAGGAAGAATTGTTCACACATAGATGAGGCCAGCTAAAAATAAGACCTTTATCCCAACAGTGTCCCATCAATGTCTCATGGAATCTCTCCTGGTATAGTTTACTGAGCCACTCAAGCGTTAATAATTTTAACTTAATAGTCCTCTTTCTTATAAACCACTTATCTACTCTGTCACCACACGCGCCTTTTGGACATGTAACACACTTCATAATTGCGTCAATAAATGAGATAATATCCCACACCGCAACTGTTGGTTGTATGGACATACATCTTTACCACAGGCATAGACAGCCTGTGGACTAACATTATGAATAACTTCTAAGCATGACCACTCTTCTACTCTCAGAGCTTTTATCTTTCCTGGAGATAACAAATTCAACTCCTGTTTCATTGCCAGAAAGGCAGGCACTAAAATGAATCATTTAACGCTTACATTTCAGGATACCTATAAAAGATGTGACTAATCTGATGCTGCTCATAAACACAGTGTTTTTGCACAGGGAAGAGCAGAGGCTTACTTTCAGGTGGCATAATCCATTTTCCAGTGTGTCATTCCCTGTTTAATTTTAGATGCTCAGATGTGAGTCAGTACATGAGATAAGTGTACGTTAGACAGTGGTGCAACGCAGAAAACAAAAGTGTGTCATACGTCAAATATTACTTAACTACACGCAAGTTACATGTAGGTCCATGTTACATTACTATTTTCCTAGAGGGTATTTAAGTAAAAGCACTTGCAGGCTATATGTGGAAATAAGGCAGAAGAGGGAGGTTTTTTTAAACCTTGTAATGCAGTACTACAGCAAGATATAAAAGTATGCAGATAATATCCTACAACCACTTCTTCCCATATAGGTTGCTTTGCTTCTGACTCCGCCATAGCCTTTTTCTCTTCCAGTAGCCTCCTTGCTTCTGCCTCTGATTTTGCACATTATGTGCAGATTTTTTTTTTTAATCTAATTTTAAGAAACTATACTATCGGAGTTATGGGTTATACACGTAGACTTATAGTGTAGCTAGGGGGCTTTCTTGAAATTAGAAAAGGAAACAAATATTTGGAGCTCAATCAAAATTTGCTGAAACAAACGGAGACACAGGGGGTCAGGATCAAGTTTCTGGTAGGTTAACTGACTGATACTCTGGTTAGTACCTGCTGAAATGTCCAGCTCAGTCAGTTGCTATTTGTATTGCTTGAAAACAACAAAAATGAAGGAGAAAGGAGAATAAACATGTTTTGAAATTCACAAGAGCAAATTTAGATTTTTACCTGAAATGTAATTCTAATTGATCCTTATTATTTTGTAAAAACAGCTCAGCTGAAAATTGAAACTTAATAATGCAGGAAAAAGGGTCTTATGGACTTAGGAAAAGACTTTTGTCTTGAAAAATCCCTGTCTTTCAAACCAATATACTGGTTCTTGGGAAATAATGAATACACAGACTTCCCAACTAATAAGCATTCTTTCACTGTTCTCTCTTTCTAGTTTTGGAATACTGTGCTGGGAGAGCCTTAGCAGACAGAAACCTTTTGAAGGTATTTATCTCTGTGGTTCATGCCTGATTTTATGCCTCCTCTTTATTTTTTTCCACCTCCCTTATCTTAGGGAAATTATGATGCAAATAGCACAGTTGTTTCAGATGTCCCTTTGCCTTACATCACTGTCAAAGAGCATAGCTCCACATTATGGGAACCAGAAGTCAATAAATCCTTATTGTTTCAGGGGAAAGGTGTAGCTTCTTACCTCACTTTTATTATCTATCTCTGTTTGCTGAAGCACTCTTGTTACTCAGAGAGTTCAGTTTTACGCCTTCGTGAGAAACAATACCCTTTTGTATTTGTGATAGTCATAATTTTAAAAGCAGGCAACAGTTTAGTGGCAAGTAGCTTACCAGATGAGCAGACCTGAGTTTTCCCGCCCATTTTTAAAGTTGCTCTGAATTTCAGATCCCGATCAAGAAATGCCGGTTTGTGCTAAATGCTCTTTAGGAAGCACTGAAACTTGCTTTCTTTACCCTGCTAGATGAAAGAGAGCAGTTTTAAAGAACTTTGTTTGCAAAGCATTGTGTAATAACTGACATGGTCTAAGAATGACCCCCATTTTATGGAGGTGCAGACCAAAGAAAAGGTTCTTTGGTACAGGCTTTTTTTCTGACAAAACTGATTTAAAGGGCTCCTACATTTTGCAGGCTGAGAAGGACATATTAAAAATACTGCATAGAATATTAGGTTAATATTCATATCACTTTCACTTATGGCTGCCATCTTGTGGCTGCCCAAAGTAAGTAGTTTATTTTTTGTAGAACAGGATTTGTATTCTTATAATGCAGGTGTGTTGGTGTATTGCCTTATATAAAACTTTATGCTTAAGACATACCCATAATAATGATATGTACATTTAAGGTATGTGTGTGAGTTTACAAAAAATGTAGACATATCCATCCGTGACTTATTTGGACAGAATTCTTTATTGAGAAATGGCCTGTTGCAACGTAGCTGTGGTTACTGTTAAAGGTTAGCAGACCTACTTATAACAGTGTTAACAGATCTCTATTTTTGCTTTAAAAAGCTGTCTCTGCTTTCAAATACACAAAATAATTTATGTTGAATATCATTTTAAAAGAATTCTGAGGTCTTTAATATTTTTGCCGTGACATTTTTCCCCAAACTGCAGGCCAAAAAACTCTGCTGGAAGTTCTGACGAGAATCTGTAGTGGTTTGCGTCCTGGGATTTCAGCAAAGTTTATACCAAGCAATCTGCCACAGAGGAATAGACTGTTGCACCTCATCGTCCTGTGCTGGCATCAAGAACCAGACTACAGGCCACGTACTGCAGGTATCTTTTCAGATTTGCTGTCTTTGCAGGATTTGCAATGGAGATAGTCTTTTTGAGAGTTTGCTCTAGCACACTGAACAACTGAAGTGGAAGGCAAAGCATTCTCTGGATCATCATCAGAGTACTGTATATATTCTTTTTAACGAAAGTTTCCTCCCAGAGGTGGCTTACTTATCCCCCGACTTTTTAGTATGATGTAAAAAACTGAATACAAATAAAGGAAGGGATATTGTCAATTATACGGAGTATTTTAACAAAGATCAACCTGTCTTCAGCATTTCTTTTCCCAGTGTACAACCAGCTCCCTTTGAAATGCGCTATCATTGTTTACGGTCACGGATCTGTGTTAATTTATGCTTATCCTCTAGCCTCAGAAATATAGCCAAGAAATGTTAAAATCCTGATATGTGAGGACTGTTGATCAGATTGTCAAAGGTGTACACCCGAGAGCTAGGGAAGCAATCTGCATATAGTTTTATTGTTATAACTTCATACAAGCATGTTCACACCTTTTGCAGGTAAGTGCATTACATCTGTACGAACATTTAAGAAAACGTGATTTTAATGTGACTGTAACTGTTCTTTAATATCACTTCAAAAAGCAGTCCAAGGGGAAGCATCAGGCAGAAGTTGCACTAAACTGATTTAATTTAATAGTAGCTACTCAATATAATAGCAAAGTTAATACTCAATAGACCTGAAAAGTTAGGTGCAGTACATGCAGCTAGCTATGATGCATAGATATACACATACTTTCAAATATAATCTGTGGTATTTAGAATGCTTTTTTCGTTCTGCAGAATGCGCAGACCTTCTAAAGGGAATTTTGACTAGTATAAATAAGGAGGCAATTTCCACTGCAATATACAATCTGATGGATGCAAAGGTTAGTGCAAAACTAAATTTGTTCCTATACAGGGACGTTGCCTGATTTGTAACAACCTCTGTGATTTGTAAACAGAAAAGGTTTGGTCTTCATTGCTTTATTGGACATGTCAGAAAGATGAAGAGTACCCTCGAGCTTTTCACGTTCATTCAGGAATTGCAGAAGACAGATACTGGGAGGTTAAGCATAAGGCTAGTTCTCTAGCCTGTCCTCTGGAAACACCCTGTAAATTGCTACCTGAGATTATGAGAATGTGATCGCTTCTTTCTAGCCGCAAGCGTAGTAAGACTAGCAAATCTATGCAAGTGAGAGTAAGTCTCAAGTAGATCAGATTATGCCTAGAACCAAGGCTAATTTTAGTTGTAAGCAATGGTTAGAGGATATTTATTCCAGACCTGGACAGGGTTAGTACCTGCTGCAGCAATGCTAGTATCAGCACTCTTCTGTATGTTTCACTGCTTCTAAGTTGACCTGGTTTGATATTTATCAGGCACAAAACAACTAGTGTTTGCCCTAGGGTCTAAGAGGCTGCTCTGATACTGAAGGAATGGATGGGGAACAGCCAACAACCGAGGGACACAGCAAATACCATATATGTCTGCATTGCCATGGGAAATCTGACTGCCACAAATATAGCTCTAGTCCAGCTAGCTCGCTTAAGAGAGGCATAGCGGGGAAGCTAGTGACACATGCTTCAGTCACTAAATAAGAATTCTGACTTCATCTGCGCTTACACAACCCATTCTTAAGCCCATGTTGCCACAGCTTCATTACTGTGCGTATGTGAGCTGCTTACATCTATGCACACAGGGTTATTTCTACATGTTGTGATCACATGCTGGGATCGTAAAGCAGATTCGATTGTTGTCGTCAATAGGCGACATAGCTACAGTCTAAGTCACTCTATTACCATTGAAATTTATGGAATATTTAACAGTACATCCCTAAATAATCCAACACTTGAGATTCCCTTCAGCAAGGTGTTATTTTTCCATTGACTATTTACTGTTCAAACTACTGATAACATGAACGAAACCACTGCAAAACGGTACTGGAGACACTTAAAAAGAGCAAAAGGTATTGATTTAGAAGTGTAGAAATACTAAAACAAGTTGAACAAATCTGCAGCAGACATACAAACTGGGAAAAAAAAGTTACAAGTATCAACACATCCTTATTGCAGACAGCTTGGCGTACTAAATACAAGATGACCTTGCTGTTTGGATACTTAAAGGAAAACATGTTATAGCTAGCCCAATGCTAACATACATATCTCAATATATGGTTATTCTCACCCTCCCTTGCATGGTTCAAAGTCAACTTTTACATTAATTTGGAAAGAGCATTAACAGTAACAGGGTAGAGTGTCAGATTGTACGCCCTGCTACATCTGTTAAAATGCAAAGTTGCTCCATGTAGTACATTATTGCTACAGGCCAGCATACCTAAGAGTAGAATATGACCCAGTGTCAATATAAATTTTGGCTCATGGCAGCTGCAAATTGAACAAAGATAATATGTATGCTTTACTACAGTCACTGTGTTATTTTTTCCAGGAGACAGCACTTAATGCATGCAAAGGTTCAGAAACATACACGTTGCAGACGGGCATATGCAACTCAGAGGTGAGCAAATGGCAAGAACTTGAGAGTTTTGTTTATAAGAGTATTTTGTAAGCTGTAGGTTTCTCCTGCCAGGTAGGACAATGTATAATACAAACACTCTGGAGCAAAACGTCTTAAGATTTTTGTCCTTACAGAATCCCAGAATCACAGAATCGTTTAGGTTGGAAGGGACCTCCGGAGATCATCTAGTCCAACCTCCCTGCTCAAGCAGGGTCACCTAGAGCATATTGCCCAGGATCACATCCAGACGGGTTTTGAATATCTCCAGCGAAGGAGACTCCACTACCTCTCTGGGAAACCTGTTCCAATGCTCTGTCAACTACCAGGGTAGTTGCCTAGTTAACCAGAAAAGCCCTGTACTTTGCTTTATTTCAAGCAGCAGACCTTGATGTTAAGAAAACCTTGTCTTAGGGAAACAACCTCCTCCACTCAGACTCACTTGGAACCTCTTCTTGAAGAGGTCCTATTGAAATGGCAAGAAATGGCCTTTTCTCTGGCCTTTTCAAAATGCCAGCTGGCATTTGCAACCAGTTTTCTTACAGAGCAAAGCCAGCTGCTTTGTGATCTCTCTAAAATACACTTAACTCCCACTTTTAGATTGATTTTGGCACTTACGGCAGGTCTGCCAACACAGAAAAATTCAGAGGTAGGACTGAAGCTCTTCTGCATGGATGAGAGCTAGCTTTAAACTAAATAGCTCATGTTCTAGCGACTTCATGACTGTTGGCAGCATGGGCTGCAGAAGCCATCAGGGACAGCAACAAAGTCTAGGAGAGTAAGCCTGTGGATCTGTGCTGCCAGAGCAAGGCACAGTAACCAACTGAATTAAGTGTATCTTACAGGCTCAGCGTTTCCTTGCCCGCTCCATCCCACTGCAACAGACACAGCCTTAGGTTCCAAAAGAAAACTGCTTAGAAAAGGACATCTCTGAACAGAAGTTTCAAAGAAGATAATTCTTCTCTCTTTTGATCTTTTTCAGATCATCTGTCCACAAAAAAGCAACCAAGTCATCAAGAAGAAAATTCCCCTCGTAGTGCCAAGCTTGTCAGCTATTCTACTTGATAGCAGTGCAAATAGCGCAGGAAGAGAAAACACTCTTGAGACGGCTTTGGCAAACACTATCCCACGGAACACAGCAACAAAGCAAGGTCTCTACCTTGAAACATATTCAGCTCCAACTACTCTACAAAAAGGAAAAATATTCCTAGTTGTTCCACATTCCCCGTGTATTTTCCAAGTAATTCCAATTACTTGGAAATTCCAAGCAATTTTCCAGTTGTCCATTCTCAGAGTACAGCTGTGCCCTCGGCCAGTATCATCCAAAGCATGAGGGTTCACTCCAGAAAACCAAAGGCACCCTGAAAGCTTTTGATTTCGTGTATACACTGATTTAGCGTATACACCAAAAAGCCTATTTTGGAGATTTTTTTTTATAGAACCCTGACTGTAATGTACAGTTGCCTTTCCTTCATACATCAAATATTGCCTGTCACTTTCCACAGGAACAAGTCCCTTCTAGGGCCCACTGTTGCAGTTTCTATTGCCTTGTACCACCACGAATATCTTTTTTGTAACCTGCTAATAAGAAAAGGAGTTCCATTTTAAAAATACCATGTCTCCAGGAACATATTAACAATTCCTGGGAGTCACCATTCCCACATAAATAACTTCCTTTGCCTTTCCCCTGTGGATTTATCTTGTCAAAGTGTTTAAATCTGTGTCAAGAAGTAATACTTCCGTAAATGTTTCTCCTGTACTCCTCATGCCTTCGGACAAAAAAGTTAAGCCATAGGAAATTAATTCCCTTATCATAATGACACCTGCACTCCCAAGCATTTTTAGTTCTGATCAACAGCTGTCAGACTTTTGGATAGAATAAAATTTTCCATAACTTCAAAAATAAATTCCTGAAGGCAGTTTTACTGAGGTCTGAAAAACTAGATGTGCGTAGTAATAGATGTCAAATCTTCTTAAGAATAATGACCTATTATCTAGTGCCCAGAAGACAGCTCGTGATAAATAATTTCTCACAAGTTAGTTTTCACTTTAGCGCCAGTCCTCTCCAGCGGCTAATACATATTATGTCCTGTTCTTGTTCAATTCAATGGTCTCACCTTTTCCATCTTAAATTTTTTCTAGCTCATCCAGGTTCTGACAGTAGAAAATCAAGCCTGTGGCCTTCCTTTTGCCCTCTTCCTTCATCAGGTCCAACTACAGGCAGAGAAAGCAGTGTGTGCCATAAGGACTCTCCGCTGCCACTTCAGCCCAGCCCACAAAGCACTTATCTTGAGCCAGCACTGACAGGTGAGACTCTATTTCCAGTCTGAGGTGGTACTCTTCTGCTTGGCCAGATTCTAGTCAGTGATTAAGTGTTTAGAGTTTGCAGGACACAGATGACATGTTTTCTGAATTTTCTTGCACGTTTTCAGGTATTTCGTGTAATACTTCCTCCAAATTTCATTGTTGCTGTAGTGGGAAACAGGATACTCAACAAAATGGCTCATGCTAGAAAAATGCACTTTGTGTAGTTTTAAGCTTTCTTTGTGAGTATTTCGTACCTCTAAACAGTAGCTATTGACTATAGAAAAGTCGGGGGGAACTATTTCTCTCTCTGCTTATAAAGATCTCAGTTTTTCCTACTGAACAGAGGCAGAAAAGACCAACCTCTGGTTTGTGAAGCCTATCTCTTTTCTGGAGAAAAAAAGCTCAGAAACTTTCTTGTCAACTTTTTTGCAAACTGACCTATGGTAATTCTCACATCTAGCTTGCCATCCTTCTCTGCTACTGAGTGATGACATAACTTCTGGATAAACCAACAGAATAGCGAATGTAGAAAAAAAGATAACAGATCAGAAACCAGAGAATAACAGAGGCCTGCTCTCCAAAAGAACAATGGCCCTTGCTTATTAATTTTCACTTAGTGTACGGTACCTACCCCACACTAAAACCCGAATGTCTGTACTCAGCATTCTAATAGATGCAGGCTAACCAGTCCATGAAAAGAGGCAGCAGAATCCAGAGCTCTTGACCATTTTGTCAAGAATATTAGTTTTGCTACCAATTTGGCTTCAACATATCTTCAAATTCTCGGTTTCAAAATACAAGTTTCAAACAGTGTACCACCCTGAACTACCTGGGCTATTATTATCTGTACTTCTACTTTCTACAGGACAAAGTTGTCTCATCTAGGTAGAGCCAGACTGTTTTGGATAAAGTTTGATACAGATATACAGACATATAATATAGAAAATTTCCTCCCACTACACAATCTGATCACTTAATAAACAATCTTTAGAAATAACTGTTTTCTGTAATCTGTTCTTCATTAGTTTTGAACAAAAGCTCCAAATCTATTCGTACTAGTTTTGAACAAAGGGTGCAAATAAACTAATGCTTCCTTGTCATCTCCCCTTTCTCCACTGAATTTATATTTCTGGAATTTCCTTCATTTCTCAGTCTTGATGTTATCACTTGCTAACCACTAGTGCCCTATGGAAGAACAGGGCACTTAAGTTTATCTTATTGTTTCCTTTCTCACTCAAGGTCCTTGCTGCAAAGGAAACTGCTGTCAAATACTAGCCTGCCAGCGAGAAGCCATACTGAGCAGGATGACAGAAGGACGCCTCAACCATATCCTTGATGTCCTTCGCTCACAGCAAACGTTGTCCCGAGTGGACTATGAAACAATCACCTCGTGCCCCACAGTGACTGGCCGCGCTCGGGCGTTGTTAGACACTTGCCTCTGCCTTGGGGAGAGGGCAGCGCAGGTTGTAGTGACTGCACTTTCAGTGAGCAAATGCAGTCCTTTGGCACAAAGCAGCCATTGCACAAACTGTCCTTCCAAGACAAAGAGGTTACTGCAGTGACTTGACTTATTTCTTGTGGTTTGTTACATGGATCAGAGCACTGGTAATTTGGAATGGCAGCGATTCACATTCATGCCTCATAACCATTGACTGAAGTCAATCCTTCGTACAGCCCATGATTGTAGTCCTTGAATGGAAAAAGCTAGCTGGATTAAAAGGTCAAGTCAGCCACTGCCTGAAGAAATTACGAAGACTGGTAAAACAAATTCTTAACTTGGACCTCAAAGATGGGAGGATTATAATGCGTGCCAGAGCAAATACACTTCAGGTCAGATGACAGCTTATTTCCTTGATTTTAGAAGAGCACAAAATGGATCATGAGTTTTTGGAGTTCACGCTATGGAGGAAAGGCTATTACTAAATCCTTCCAACTAAATGCACTTAACAGGGTGCTGGATAAGGAGGGGAAAAATCCCTTCCTCTCATTGAGCTCGTAAGCAAACCAATTGTCAGAGTGAAAGGCTTAAGACAAAATCAAGAAATCTCTCTTTAACAGGGCATCAAAAAAGGTTTGGAAATTTTACATTATGCAGATGAATTTTCACTTACAAATGACTGTACACTCTCAAAATTGGGCACTGATAGTGAACACTTTTGAGGGGTGGGGTTTAAAGTAGGTCGTAAATTGAACAAAGTTAATACCTTATATTCATGCAGTTCTCTGAGTATGTCTGCAGTTCAAATGTGCAATTATATCAGGAAGCAGAGATGCCAAGCTGATCATTCTGAAATGATGGTGCTGCTGAACTGTAAAGGAAAGCAGTAAGATTATCTTAATTATAATGAAAAGGAGGTTATACAAGGTGCCTGTTTTTGAAGGCACAGCGGGATTACTTCAAACTTCAAGGCACTGGATTAACCTGAGAACATTCGTTATATGATATACAAGTATTTCATATGTAAAACTACAGTGTTGGGTTTCCCTGCATTGCATTTGTTCTCTTTACACTTTCAAACTGCTTATCTGATGTGGTAGTCTGAGAGGTTGTAATCTTAAATATAGTAATGATGTGTTCTCTAAGCACATTTAAGACATATGGGATTCGTTACTTCATGTACTACAACGCTGCTGGAACCATAAACTTTAGCTAAAATTTTTTTAAAATAAATTTATTAAGCTTTAAGAATGCCTTGAGGTGATATATTGTTACAATTTAAAGCAATGTCTATCAAAATATGTTGAAAATAGTTTTGCCTATTGAAGGAGCTAAACATCACTGTTGAATTTTTTTCTACAGTTTAAATGGGAATTTTCAACAGACTATATCAGCCTTTCCCCACAAAGGCTGTCTTAATCATAAGGAATAGAACTACTGTTGTGGTGTTTAGAAGGCATATGATATTCAGAGTAAAACAGAAAATCATTCATCTGTGGGAATTAAGTATAGATTATCATGAGGGAAGCTAGCAATACTGTTAAACATTATCGGCTTTCAGAAGTAATTCCATTTAGTTGTTCTGCTGGACATTTTATGTCGTTCCGCTGGACGTTTCTTCCGTGCAAGACGTGCCAGCTGGCAAACTATGCTGATTTTGTCATAATTTTTTTGGCATGGAAATAGTTTTGGTTCTGGGTTTTTTGGGGAAGTTTTTTTTGTTGTTTTTTTCTTGAATCAGTTTCCTGTTGGAGAATATCATTTGATGCCAGACCTAAGGCCCAAACTCAATTGTTAATTGCAGAACTGGCATGAAACCAGTCAAAGCACAAGTTGTCTATTTTTCCAGACAGGTCATGTTCTCTTCATATTTAGCTTTCTAATTTAAGTATTCTTGATAGGTTATGACTTTTCAGAGTTACTGATCTATTACCATCACACTTACCTAGATTTTTATCAAGATAACCCAAGAAGACAGCTTACAATCAATTATAAAACAGGGGCAAAATTGTTACCTCATATGTAAATAAGCCTGCATGTAATTCTTTATTTTATTTGATAATTACCTCTAATCCACAATCAGATTTTGCATCTATTCAACTGAAATCAATGCTTGCATTTATTGAGACTTTGCCCTGATACCTTGGCTAAAAGCATCGCCATAACTAGCTGTAACACTGCCAAAGTCTTGCTATAAGCCTACTAAGGCTAATGCAAACTTATGCCTTGGCCTAGGAAAATGCATAGACTTCCTCCTAACTCTACCTTGTGCAATATAAACCTTTACACTTTCATTTTTATTAACAGTTACAACTGTGAGGAATCTTTATTTATATGTGTGGGGTTGAAGGGGATGTTATTCGTTTATTGAGATGAAACTGCTATTTACATGAAAAGGTTTGAAGCTGCAACTATAACAACTTAATCTTGCCTCACCAAAAATACACATTCTTATAAAGCCTATCATGCGTTGGCCATATAACAAAGTAGTTAGCACAGGTATATTAATCACTGACGGAAAACATCAAATGGCCTAAAGTTACTGTATTTTGTTACTTGCATACAAATTATGTTCATTAGCAAAAATTTCTAGCGTCCTTGTCTGTCTTCTGCGGTGTTCTTGATACCACAAAGCAGGAACACAGCTTAAATCTGAAGAACATCTAGAGTCCCAAGAAGGAAATATTTTTATAGGTAACTGGACAACAGCAAGGGGAATAATAATAAATTCACTTCAGGAGTGACTATACAGTGATTAGTAAAAATTGTCTTGGAGTTAGTCAAGAAAGACAAAAATAGAATTATTAGCCCTTAAAAGACGATGAGTCATATTCAAATGCTATTGAGCAATTTAGACGTATTAAAGGTAGAGTAAGTGGAGTATGCAAATGGTTATTTTTTTCTGAATTAAACTTTGTCTTAATGTTAGTTTCAGCTGTTTTTTGCTGACTGTTGAAAAATGATGACTGTCCCTTGCCCTTTTTCCTATCTATACAACACCTTTATCCTAGCTAGGATACTTCCTGCAATGTAAGAACATCTCCACTAGAATTGTTTGAAGTTAATTTGTGGACAACTCATCTGAGGTACTGAAATAAAGCTTCTATGGGGTTAGTCCTTCCAGTACAGAACAAAACAAAGCTATAAATAACACTCAACGGTTGTCACCAGTACATTTTAAAAAACACAGTCCCAGAGAACAACAGACGAAGAGAACAAGTATATATCTATAAAATATGCTCGCTAGAAAATTTTTAAAAAGCATGAATGGACGAGTAACATAAAAGAAATTTACACCAGCTAGGTAGTTTAAAATGTACACGAACTGGAGCGCTAACCAAAACATACTAGACCTCATGGATTCTTATGATACCATTTCAAGTCTGAATTCTACATAACCTTGCAAACATCTCCACACCTGCATAGCTTTGCTAACCTAAACTGTCCATGTGAGTATTTGTACAAGCAAGGTTGAGCATGTATATAAATACTTGGTGGACTGGTTTATTAGTGAAAGACCCAACTATAATCAAAGCTGGCACAGAGAATTTAGGATTCTTCACTGCTATTCACTGATCAGAATGCTACCACAACTATTAACTGTGTTCTCCTTCAGTAATTTATGTTGTCTCCAAGACTGATGGTTCTTTTGTGCATAAAGAAATCTTGTCTTGCACTATATTCCCTCCCTTTCTTTCTCTCCATCCACCCCCTTTGCAAAATATTATACAGGTGCTCCAAAAGGCCTTAGCGTAGTTCTGATTTTGTTCTTTATTAAAGGAAGTAATTCCCTGTCTGGTACAGCGTTTACTTTTATTGAGCCTATGGTTGGCTTGACGGCTGCTATGCCAGCCAAGTTAAATAAGAGTTCTGGATTTTGAAGGTAAGTCCACCATAAATTAAACAACCTTACAGGTTTTGCAAAGAATATATTTAATGAGTTAGTGTAGCTGCAGGGTGAATTAATTCCATGGTTAAATTCAGTATATGTTAAGAAAGGCTGCTGATAATTGCAGCGTTGTATTTTCTGTGATCCCAACATGACAAAAATGGTGGAGGAGAAGCTCAGATATATTATTTCCAACTCACATCCTGATAGGACATGAATATTGTGCTCAGTATTTCATTATTTCCTATTTTTATTTCTCTTTTGCCAATAATATATCCCAGGTAAGATTTACAAAGATATGCAGTCTCAAACTGCCATCTTCACTCAGCTTTATGGTTGGCCCTTCCTTTTTCACAGAAGTAAGAAATGCATCAGTTGAAGGAGCTGCGGATTCTTTCAGCCAGGCTGAATCAAATGGCAGTTAGTGACTTCAAATAAAGACTCCTTCACCCTTGAAACGTGATACTTTGCAAAGTATTTCAACATCTATTTCCAACTGTTGTTCTTGAACTTTCCACACAGCTGCCGAAATATGCATATGCACAGAATGTGCAACAGAATTTCACCCTTTCCGATGCAATCTGGCTGTACTCCACAAAGTTCTGCGCAGTTAGTCCATCCCTTAGTTCCAAAGAAAAGTGCTTGCACTAGGTAACAGTGACTTCTAACACTATTTTTGTTTGCTTTTGCCAGCCAAAAAGGGCTCTATATTTTTCTCAGTTCATTAGAATGTCATCTGTGAAAAAACCTGAGGGAAGAGATTAAGCAAAGAATACATCTGGAGAATAAAAAACAAAGATATGAGGCTTTCAACCTTGGAATAGCTGCAAATTGTGTTCCCAACAGAATTGTCTTCATCCCACTTGCATGTGTTGTGATAGCATCCCATCACAAAAGAACAGGAAACTAGCCGGGGAACACTGACATGAGAGCCTGCCACATTCGCTCAAGTATGTGTGCAAAACACTGAAGCACTCATTGTTTTCCATTCCACGCTGGCAACATCTTAACTGGAAAACGGTATTCAGCTCTGGGAATGGACTGAGGAGAGCCCAGAAGAGAGGAAGGCTGATAAGCAGTGAGGAAACCTGACGTGTAAGGATAAATTGATAAAACTCTGTTTGTCTGGTCTAAACAACAGAAGGCCAAGGGAAGACATGACAGCCTTCCCGTCTGGAAACAGAGGAACCTGGTACCAACCAGTTGTCCATTCCTACAGCTTTTTGATGCTGCTGTGGCTTTCAAGCAGATGTTCACACAGCTTTAAAGGACATTATGAAGACAAGTCTCCACCTTTCCAACACCCAGAGCAAATAGCAATATTCATGAATTACTTTTTTTACCCCCCAAAAACAAATACTTCAGAGCTCTTCAGTAGGCAAAATGAACATAAGCAATAGTGATTTGTTAAGAGCTTTTCCTCCGCCTGCCAATTAGGTATTCAGGATCTGCTTATGCAAATGTTTAACTAGAGTGATCTCACGGAGAAATCAATGTCTTTTTGTTGCGTTATACTGCATGAATACTAATATCTATCCTGCAATTTAACCAGTGTTTATTTCACTACAATCTATTAAGTCATAAACCTGTTGCTTAAAAACAAACTAAAGAGCCCTGAGCTTATCTCCACCTTCTACAGGGGGGTTCATGAACCCCAAAATAAATGGTGGCACACCTACATTTTCCCTTCTCTGCAGATCGTGATGGGTCATCCTCTCTTAAACACCAAGAAAATCTTCTCTACCCTTATCATAAGGCAATCTCTACTTAGTAACATTTCTGTCAATCCCTTGAATATTTGCTGAGCGAGTCAGTAAAACAGGGAAACCTCTTCATTTAGAAACATTAAAACTATACTTAAGATTTTTTTTTACCTAAAACATTAAAATATTTTCCTCTCTCTTTTTGCATGAATCCACAGGAACATAAAAACTGACAACACACAATGCTAAACATGCAGACAAAATAACAGAAAAAGTATGGAATATTATTTGTACTGAACTGATAAGACCTCACATAGAAATGTGAATTTTTTTGATAGACTGCATGCCTCAGAGAAGTTTCGCTATATAAAGTGAAAAACAAAGAAATATTTCAATTCAAGGAAGCTTTCTGCTTGAGTATTGGCACGGGCCAATATTCATGCCTCCTCCCTTCTACTCCAGCTCATCACAGCTGGTTCAAAGGCAGTCCCTATATCTCTGGCTAAAATCCTGTTCTCTCAAGTAAAATCAACTATACCCTGATATTCAAAGCTACAGATCTCTTTATTTTATAGAAATCTCTCACTTAAGTATACAG